AGATGTAATTTTTGTGTGTTGATGTTGGGCTAGTCTAGAGGACTTGAGGCCGGCTTTGCCTTTAGCTTGCGCACTGAGGTGTTGATTGTGTGAGCATATGCTTTTTGATTTATATGTCTGGTAGTGTCTCGGTTAGTGGAAGCGATGGCTGGATGGCTACGTGATGAGTATGATGTGACTGCGAGATGTGTTCATATGATTTAAATGTGAAGAGAAAGGTCTGCTTGAGGGTAGAAAGAACTATTTGGTACTTGATTTCCATCTCGATTTGATGTATAGCCCCGAGTTAGGGTGTGTTGAAGGATCTTTTCATGTTGTTTAGTTGGGGATGAAGTAGATTTCATGTCATGATATGAGTTCAGACTCAGGAAGATTAAGTAATTGCGTGATGTTTATGACGGTGGAAGGGTATAAAGAGATGTTAGTTTGAGGCGAAGGAGGCGGGTTATCTCATGCAGGGTGTCCTAAGGGTGTGTGATCCTTATGTTGTTTTGCAGTGAGTCTTATTTTACCAGTGAATTATATGTGTTGCAGTTCGATTTTGGATCATGTATGAGAGTTGACTTGACTGTTACGAGGGTGAATGCGAGATTTGCAGATGATTTGAAGTACTAGATGGTTTTTGTTGCACGAGCTTATGAAGGATTTAGTTTAATCTCACTATGGTATTATGACCGTAGTAAGGTATAGGCATTGTGAGTTCCTGTGTATTTTGACCTATGATTTTGAGCCAAGTGGGGGAGTCTACCGTTAATAAGTTTTTTGCGCGGCTAAATGTCGTATTAGTTTTAGCTTGAGGTATACTGGTGAATCAGTTGTGGCTTACATGGGTTGAGATCAAGGATGACTCAAGTAAAGGAAATTTTGGATAGGGGTTATGTTATGCTTTATGGGTGTATAAGAATCATGGAATGACTTGAGTTGTTATTGGTGAAGGATGTAATGTGCGTAGAGCATGAATTTAATGTGAGTAGAGTAGATGACTCCTGAGAATGGTTTTAATGGATTCAAGATTTATATGTAATAATTGGGGATCTTCAGGATGCGTATTTGGCTAGAAACTGAGGTTTACATTGGAGGGTGTCAAGACTTGTGGCATTTCTATATCATTATGGATTCTACATATCAGTATCAGGAAAGTGAAGGTAATTGCTTCGGATTCGCAGGAAGTCTCTTCAAGGTGAATATTTTGAATGTGGTGCTTTTGGGATATTTAAGAGAGTATCCAGTGGATAATGAGCCTTAGACGGTGTGATTTTATGCTTGGGTCTCGTTTGGTGAGTCTAGGTTAAGTATTGCGGTATTATGGCGAGGGGAAGTATCAAATTGAAGGTAATTTAGAAGGAACTTGGATAAATAAGACAGCTGGGTAGTAGGTCGGATCGTCATGGTAAGGGATATGATTAGTTCTTTGGGTGCTTATGGGGTAATAAGTTTCTACAGGTGTTTTGTGACAGTGCTCTTGGGTTTTTGGTGATCTGCGTAGCTTGGTTGAGATAGAAGGATTCAGTCCTGACGGTTTTGTTTTGTGCAAATGGGATTCGGAGAGTCCTTGATGATTTCTACCACGGTTAGAGATGTATATTTTCTACTGGCGTGAGGAGCATGCGATGTATAGTGATTTTCTTCTATATGGGATCAAATGGAAAGTTCTTGGCTATTTGAGGACATAGTTGCTTGTGGATCCGAATGGATTATGAAGTTCTTGTATTTATCATAGGATGACATGGTATATGCAGTATGTTGGGCAGGGTTGAGATTTGCATGTGTAAGGTCACGGTTCAGTTCTAGAAAGAATGTCATTAATTTTTAGGCAGCATGGACAGTTTCAGATGACTAGGTAACTAATATCACTAATTGGTGTGGCTTGAAGAGGGTATACATTTTAGAAAGGGCAAATGTGTTTGAGTTAAGGGTACTTCACTGGTATTGCGACGCTCTCTTGTTGGATCGACTGCTGATATTCAAGTTGCTTGGTGGTGCAGAAGAATTATAGGAGTATCCCTCATGGATGATTGAATATTAGAGGTGTGTTATATATTTGAGCGTTGGAGTTGGGATTAGATATGGTCATTCGTGCACTTTATGGATTTCGAGATTGGGAGTTCTCATAAACATGTAATTTAGTGGTTGTGGACTATGAAGATGCAAGCAAAGCTAGTCAGATGTTAGTATGTGCCATGATTCAGTCATTGTGAACTTTCAGAGAGTTATTTATCTATTGTAGGTGACTAGAGTTGATTTGGGGTTCATTGGCAGGTCAATATGGATGTGTGTTCTGCATCGAGTCGGATATGTTGACTCCGAACTGCTATTATTGAGGGAAGTTCCCTTCGGTTGTTGATAAGCTTACTCGTATTCCGAGATTTGTTTGTGAGTTACTCTTGTGAGCTAAGTGGGATTTTGATTCGTTGATTTTATGCACTAATGATATGGTTCTATTTGGTCTCTAAAGCGGAATTTGAGTGAGAGAGGTATTTGGGTGTTGCATGATTGATTACGCATTGGATATGATCTTTCGGGCTGGTATGGCATTGCGTCATTTATTTATTCGTGGTTATAGTGATTCACTTTTGGTACGAGGCATCAAATTGTGCGTGGTTGATGATTTTGAGCATGGTGACTTTAGGTGATTCATGTGGACCAGTATTTGGAAAGGGTCGTGCATTGCAGTGAAGTTAAGTGGAGGTATGATATTTCTGGTTAGATTCGTGTGTTCTGGTTTAATGGTGTGTGATGAGTTCTTAGCATCGTGTTGTGGTGGTATTGGTGTGCTTGCAGTACAGCTCTGTCATTTGAGTCATTTTTCGGCTCCATCGCCACTCTAACACTCCAAACCGATGCCCAACGCTCCAAAGCTAGATAAAAAATGCGTAAACCAATGAAAATATACTCTAATACTCATAACAATTCAATTTACAACAATTCCTAACTCTGCTTGAAAAGTCGGTAAAAATCACCCTCGGGCCTACGTGCCCGGATTCCAAATATTTTCGAAGATAAACTTTACCTATAACCCCACTAACTCAAATATATGATGTATTGTCAATTCCATTCCCAAATTCGTGGTCAAAATAAAAAAAATACCAATTTCTAGGTTTTTCTTCAAAATCCCAAATTTCTACAAATTTTCATGTCTAAATCCATACATAATTCAAGTATTTTATTTGAAATAGGTGGGAATAACTTACCTTGACATAGATGATGAAGATGGAGTTCCAAAAGCGCTCTTAGGTTGGCTCCCATGGAGGAAATGAAATGAGATGAAAATGGCCAAACTCCGTTTTTGCAAACTTATACACTGCCCAGACGACCCTTCTTCGCAATCGCGGGAATACCTGATCGTGAAGGCTAAAATGTTGCCTCCCATTATTCCTCTTCCGCGATCGCATGAGTTACTACGCAATCGCATAGCTTAACTTCCCCAACTTAGGCATGCCTCCGCAAAACGTCGCATTCGCGACTCCTCCCATGCGAACGTGAAGTACAATCTACTCCAACTCCGTTATCGCGGCTCCCCTTACGTGATCGCACTGAAGAAAAAATGCCATCAGCTCATTTAACACTTCGCGATCGCGTTATTTCCTTCACGATCGCAATGCCTTCCAAACACACCAGAAAACAACAGTCATGAAACCAAGGAAAATGACCCGAAATCATTCCAAAACACACCCGAAGCCCCTGGGACCCCGTCCAATCACACAAATCAGTCCCAAAACATGACACGAACTTTATCGAGGCCTCAAATCACATAAAACATCAAAATCATGAATCACACCCCAATTCAAACTTAATGAACTTTAGAACTTTCAACTTCCACATTCGATGTCGAAACCTATCAAATCACGTCCGATTGACCTCAAATTTTGTACACAAGTCACATTTGACATTACGAACCTATTTCCACTTCCAGAATCGAAATCCAACCCTGATATCAAAATGTTCACTTTCGGACAAACTCCTTAAAAACCTTCAAATTTCTAACTTTCGCCAAATGACCCCAAAATGACCTACAGACCCCCGAATCCACTTATGGACACGCTCCCATCAGCAGTATCTCCATACGACGCTATTCCTAGAGTCAAAATCCCAAACAGTCATCGATAACATTAAAATTCACTTCAACCCAAATTTATGAAATTCTTCCAAAATGCTAACTTCCACAATAGGTGCCGAAACGCTCCCGGATCATCCAAAACCCGATCCGGACATACACCCAAGTCCAAAATCATCATACGAACTTGTTGGAACCTTCATATCCCAATTCTGAGATCATTTACTCAAAATCCAACCTTAGTCAGAATTAGGGATGTGCATGGATCGAATCAGATCGAATTTAGCACATTTCGAATTCGGATTCTAGAAAATGTAATCTGAATCCAATCCGAATTATATTAAATCGGATCAGGTTTTAAAGTTTGGATCGGATCGAATTTCGGATCGTATTATTATACCTCAAAGTTTCAAACTAATATGTATATTTCCTTTGTAAAAGAGGCAATACATTAAGAAAATTTCATGTTTATGTAATTATGAGAGTACTATGATGCCAATATAGCTAAATCTAGCAATTGTAAAGATAATAACTTGGAGAAAAATGTAAAGGAAGTACTGACTGTTCGAAATTAAAGTGTAGTATTTATACATGCCCTAATAATTTTGGATTTCATATCGGATCGGATTAAAATATACCAATCCGAATCTGATCCGAAATTTAAAATTTTTATAAACACAATCTGAAATTCGATCCAATCCGAAGTCCGAAATTTCAAAATTGAATGGATCGGTTCGGATTTTGAATATCCGATCCAAATGAATAGCCCTAGTCAGAATCTTCGTACTTAAAGCTTCTGAAATTAGAATTCTCTTTCCAAATCAACTCTGATCTTCCCGAATTTCAATTCCGACCACGCGAACAAGTCGTAATACATGAAGTGTAGCTGCTCATGGCCTCAAACAGCCGAACGACGTGCTAGATCTCAAAATGACCGATCGGGTCGTTATAGAGTAGGTAGTGAAACTTCAACCCTTAGTTCTTTAAACAGTCTAGTTATCCATATAACCTCAGCTACAGTGGCAGCCATGCTTCGAAATTCTGCTTCAGTAGAGCTTCTGGATAATGTTCCTTGTTTTTTGGACTTCCAAGAGATTAAGGCTTCTCCAAACTTCACCATATATCCTGTGACAGACTTTCTAGTCTCTACACAAGATCCCTGGTCTAAGTCACAATAGGCAACTAACTGATGGCACTTTTCTGCTGGCATAAACAAAGCAAGTCCTGGTGCTATTTTGGTGTACCTAATTACTCTCAAGGCAAATTCCATATGGGACACTTTTGGTGCATGTATATATTGACTGAGTACTTGTACCACAAAGGCTATGTCAGGCCTTGTAGTGGTCAAGTATAATAACCTTCCAACTAGCCTCTGAAACTTTCCTTTGTCATCAAGTTCTACATCATCAGTAACACTCTTTCCACCATGTATCAGCTGGTCAAACTCAATAGAGGTGAGTTTGTGATTAAATTCTAAAGTCGTAGCTGCTGGTTTTCCCCTGTTAAGCCTGATTAGACATCAATTCTACAACATACTTCCTCTAGCACATAATTATACCCTTTTGAGATCTGGAAAACCCAATGCCTAGAAAGTATTTTTACTCTCCTAGGTCCGTTATCTTGAAACTCTCTTCCAAATCTTTCTTGACTTGCTTAATAAGAGGTAAATTTCTTCCAGTTACCAATAGATCATCAACATACACTAATATAATCAGCAACTCTTCAACCATTTTTGTAAACAAGGAGTAGTCAAAGTGGTTCTGCACAAAACCCATATCTACCAGTGCTTCAGTCAATTTTAGGTTGCATTGTCTAGGTGCCTCTTTCAAGCCATACAAGGACTTGTGGAGCCTGCAAACTTTACTATGCTCCCCCTAGCTTGAAAAACCACCAGGAACTTTCATGTAGACTTCTTCCAGCAAATCACCTTGAAGAAAGGCATTATGAACATCCATCTGAAATATAAACCAATCTGATGCAGCTACTAAAGCAATGACAGCCCTCACAGTTGACATTTTGACAACTGGTGAGAAATTTTCAGTATAATCTAGCCCCTCCTGCTAACTTTGCAACTAACCTAGCTTTGTACCTCTCCACTTCTCCTGTGGACTTGTACTTAACTTTGAACACCCACTTGTAGCATATAGGAGTTTTTCCTGGTAGAAGATCTACCACTAAACATGTGTTATTTTTCTCAAGAGCTGCAATTTCAGTCGTTATGGCCTCAATCCACTTGGGATCTTGACTGGTTCAGAGAAAGACCTAGGCTCCAAAATAGTAGAATAAGCAGTAATAGGAGCTTGATAAGCTGGAGAAAGATTGTTGTAGCCTACATTGTTCGAAATTGAATATTGACAAGCACCTCTCTGAGACTGAACCACAAAATCTTTTAGCCATACATGTGGCTTGGTGGTTCTTGAAGACTTTTTGAGTTCTACTACTGGAGTAGATGGTAAGACAGAGGGATCTTCAGAAGAGTTGAGTATAGGAACTTCAATAGGAGCTGAAGAAGGAGAGTTGTTGATTGTAGAGGCAGAAGTTGTATCTTGCTGAAGAGATGGAGATGAAGTCTCAACAAACTCCAGCATAAGAAATAGAATGGAAGAATCTGAAGTCCTGTGTTTGAAAGGAATACATACTCCTTAAATGCAATATCTCTACTAATAAAGAAAACCTTAGAGTGTAGATCATAAAGAATATACCCTTTCTGGGAGGAAGAATACCCCATATGAACTGATGGTATAGGTCTAGGACTGAATTTGTCACATTTCTTTACATTGGTTGCATAACATAGGCTACCAAAGACTTTGAGATGATGTAGAGAAGGTGACATGTGGAATAACTATTCAAAAAGAGATTTACCTTGTAGCACTACAATGGGCAATCTATTCAAGAGATATACAAAGTAGATACACAGCCCCCCCCCCCCCCCCCCCCCCCACACACACACACACAAAATTTTAAGGGCACAAAAGCTTGAAATCTCAAGGCCCTGTCCATGTCTAAAATGGACCTGTGCTTCCTTTCAACAACCCCATTCTGTTGGGGTGTATAGATACAAGAGCTTTGATGGATAACTCCATGTTCCTTCAACAAGGTGTCTATTTTTTCATTAAATAACTCTTTCCATTATCAGTTCTAAGACATTTCACTCCACTACCAAACTGAGTTTTGACCAGTATTTGGAAGTCTTTTATCACAACTATAGAATCATCTTTAGTATGCATAAGATAGATCCATGTGTATCTAGAATGATCATCAACTAGAGTTAAGAAATACCTTTTACCATCATACGTTGGTAACCTATAAGGCCTCCACACATCAACATGTACAATATCAAATATACCATTAGAACAAGTCAGACTATGAGAGAAATGTGCCTTGACTGTTTAGCAATAGGACAAATAGTACAATGATGATCTTCTAGCTTTAGACTAGGTACACCATTTAACTTTTGCAAAACTTTTAATGGAGCATGACCTAGTCTTCTGTGCCACAAAGAGGTCATAGAATAGGACTGTCCAGTAGCTAGACTACCATACTTATTAAATGCATCAGAAGTAATATTTACAGTTGGAAAAAAAATATAAATTTGCTTATGCACTTGCTGTCCAGACGTTGGTCTTCCATTTGCCTTCAGAATGTAAAGTCCAAATTCTTCTTTACCAATCCCCAACACCTTCCCACTTGAGAGATCCTGAAAAATACAAAAATCAGGATAGAAAGCTACCAGACAATGCAATTCCTTTGTGATCAGTGAAACTGAGAGTAAATTATATTTGAAATCTGGAATATGAAGAATATTTTGAACTGGATTATCCTTGAAAAATGATGCAACTCCTTTATGTGTAATATTTACTTGATCTTCAGTATGTAAATGTACATTGTTCCTATCATCTCCAATTAACTCTTCATATTCATCTAATAAATCCATACTATGAACCATATAATTAAAGGCACCTATATTTACTATCCAATTCTGATCTATAAGATGTGACATAAGTGCATGAACAATACTTGTTGTCCCTATAGTTGCAGCATTTGCTACAGATTCAGCCTCTTGCCCTTTTCTTAGTGGCTGGAGAATCTGATTGTACTACTCCTAAGTAAAGAAGTGAGCTAGTGAAGTAGGTGGAGCTGATTGATTGTGTGACTCAGAGATTGGATTTCCAGCACTTTTAACACTATTTGTATGAGTATTGGAAGGACGTCCCCTCTTTCTACTTTTGAAATCTGAAGGGTAACCATGGAACTTGTAATAGTTGTCTTTGTGTCCTCTGCCTTTGCAGTATTCACAGTAAATTCCAGACCTTCCAAATGAGTTCCTAGACTTAAAACCTCCATTGTAGTTGTTAGTATTGAATCCTCCATTATAACTACATTGTGTGGCTTATTGCTCATCATTTCTGCAACTTCATTATTATTAGATGAGGGAAAAGCACCTTTCCCCTGCATTCTTTAATCTCCACATTGACAATCATGGCATATGCCTGATTTATGTTAGTCATTAGAACCTGGTTCTTAGCATTTTCATAGGACTCATTCAAACCAGTCAAAAATTGATATAGTTTCTGCAACTGGTAACATTCAGTATGCCTCTTAGATTCAGTACATCCACATGTAGGTGGAGGATCTAGAGTTTTATACTCATCCCATAACTCTCTAAGTCTAGAGAAATATACAGAAATAGAGGAAATTCCTTGCGTTAAGGTGGTAATCTCCTTATAGAGATAGCAAGCCCTAGATGCATTGACCTTATCAAACCTTTCTCTAAGATCCTCCCATACTTTGTGAGCATCAGATGCATAGATCACTGTACTAATTAGACTAGGTGATCTGTATTCATTATCCAGACTAGAACAATAGCGTTACACCTGTCCCACTACTCATGTAGGCTAGAATCATACATCTCCCTACGACATGTTCCCAACACAAAACCTAGCTTATTTTTACCATGCAATATAATTTTTAATAATCGACTCCAAACAGAATAGTTCTCAAAACCTTGAAGTTGAACAGAGATGAGTACCGAACTTTGAGTATCAAACGGGTGGATGATTGTGATCAACTTGATTAATCGACTAAGGAATCGACTGAACATCAACTGTTTCTTCATTAATCGATATTTTGCAGCTAGAAATTAACAATTGAGGTGAGATCTCAAAACCCTATATTGTTGAAAGTAACTTGAATGAGCAATCGACACAGGAATTGACTCTAACTCTTGCTTAACAAATAATTTATGTCACAACTGAGCTAAACGAGGCTGGAAACCATGTTCTGATACCATGTTAAGGAGCTACAACTATGACATAAGAAAGCTCTAGAAGGAGATGAACACACAGAGAGAGAGGCAATATCATTTTTGTGTATCGAGAAAAAATATGTATTCAACTGATAAAGTCTGTACAACCACTACTATAACTAATGTATATATACTGTATCTAACCACTAACAGACTTCTAACCAACTAAATGTATTTGCATAAATAGTTGGGTCCCACTTCTCTTAACAAAAAAGTACAATAAACCTTTCACTTACTTTTAAATAGTCTCATAAATCATAATAATTCATTGTCATAAGATCATGCTACTAAGTATTGGTAACATATAATTAATTTTAGACTTTATTTTACACTAACATCAAGTTAAAATTATGACTAAAAAAGAACCTATAAATTGAAAATTGAATTGGAATAGAGATAATCGAATTGATTGTTGTTAACATATTGCATGATGTTCATCGCTACACAAAGTAGTTCTATTTATACACATGAAGCCAAGTGTTACTAATCTCAACTAGTATATGTACCCGCGCGATGCGCGGATTGTTTCAAAGAAAAAAAATAATATAGTAAAAACATGTCTTTATTGTTGACTAAATTTAGCGATCACATTCAAAAGAATTAAATCAAAAAACAAATATATAAATTTCATAGGATTGTATCTATGCTAGGAACCACTGATATTTATGCACAGAAACATGATTAGCGTAGAAGGTTGGATAATTGTAATAAGCCAAAAGCTAAAGTAGATTTCCCAAAATTCACTTCCACTTCATATACACATCATCCATAGTTGCAGGGAAAGTAAAACAATGATACAAAATCTCAACCAATAATCAAACATATAATCATAGTAGATATAAAATAACCGAGAGTTTTATTATAGTCAATTTGGATAAACACCAAATCCAAGAGAACATATGTGCGATAGAAGGAAGCAACGTTCAATTTTTATTATTAATTACAACATTTCTAAACGAAATTAGCAATTTCTGTGTAAATTTGGATAGCTTAGTTGTTACAATATACTGGAGTAATGCTACATAAGTACTTGGCTTTAAAAAAGATTAGTCCACCTGAAGAAGCAGAAATTTATCTCAAGTTATTATAAAAAAAACAAAGAACAATTATACATATGTGTAATTCACATTAATTAAGACATTACCTTTTGTTGCGGTGTACTTTAGATCAGAAGTATATGAGAAAAATGAGCAAGTCAGTCATGTTGGTTGATGATATAAATGACAGACTCGCATGGATAACTAAGATCTTGAAAATACCCAATCCTTGTTAGCATATTCTATATAACAGTTTTAAGTCTTAGATGAAATGCATACATTAAAAGGAGCAGATTCAGCAAATGAAAATGAAATGAGGATATCCAAATTACGAAACAATGAGGAATCCAGATACCAGATTCAGTGCAGCTACATAAAGTGCATCTGCTCCAGCAACAATTTCCAATATCTCGCCAGTAATATTCACATGCCTTTTCCGGTTATAAGCAATCGAAAGGTTTCTCTTTAAGTCAACTGCATTATCCGTGGCATTACTCTTTGCATTCATCCTAGCATCAAGCTCACTCACAAATGACTCTTAAAGTGCCCTCAAAATCTGGCTATTCAAATAGAGTAACATCAAAGCATCAAGAATCTGAGCAGGACCTTGCTCAAAGTCTAAATTACACAAATAACTTCCCCTTTTAACCCTCAAATGATCCCTCTCAACAATCATTTTCCCCTCCTTAGTAGTCAACCTAAAGAACTCATATTCACCTACATCAACACTTTTCCCATTAACATTAAGAACCTCTCCTTTCGATAAAATTGGAAGCAACGTATGTATTATTGGATCAGATTTAATCAATGAAACAAATTTAGTATACATCAGATATGGAGTAATGCTGGAGTATACTGGAGTAATGCTACAAAAGTACTTGGCTTTAAAAAGGATTAGTCCACCTAAAAAAGCAAAATTTGTCTTAAGTTATTATCAGAAAAAACAAAGAGCAATTATACATATGTGTAATTCACAGTAATTAAGACATCACATTTTGTTGTATTGTACTTTGGATCAGAAGTATATGAGAGCATGAGCAAGTTTCCGAACCAGTATATGAGAACATGAGCAAGTGAATAGGCAACTTCATGGAGAAAAAATTAGAATACATAGTTAGCTGGTCAGAAGCAAACCTTAGACATCAGAAGAATGTTCTTTGCAAAACACAGTAGATTTTCTTGAGTCTATGGTACTTTTTAAGAGTTTAACTGCAAAAGAACAAATTCAGATTTTAAAGAACTTCAAAACAAAGTAAACGGAGAACTATTAAAAACAGATGTTAACTTTTTCAGTGATTAACTACAACTATCTTCACTTTAGCGAAACTCAGGGACAACTAAAAACAAAGAACTATAACTATCCTTTTAAACTTCTCAAACCTCTCAAGTAAATGTAATAAGAGCAAAGGTGTACAGATTTAGCAATAAGCTCATTTATAATTTAAAAATCATATGTTAATGACTTTGTAATTTAAACTTAAAAGAACTTTGATGTTAATGGTTAACCTAAAGTCCTTTCAAGTTTATCAGTCCTCACATGCATATAGACACAAAGTGAACTACCCCATAAATAAGAAGGAAAAGAGATGCAGGGGAATAGATCATGTACTACTTCTTTCAATGTTGATGGTCTTATATTTCTAAGCAGTTGTATTAACCTCAAATAGAGCATCCTTTAAATCATTTGCCGACTTTTCGGTAATCTTAGTTGCTTTCCGATCTCACAACAACAAAGAAATTATACTGGTGCAATCCATCACTTTAACTTGTAGCATGTACCTGGAAAGACTTTGTATTTTTAAAATCATATTATATAATAGTAAAAAAACTATAAATTACGGTCATACCTATGAGTGGCAGATTGAATCTGCTCGCATTTTTTACAATAAAATATATTCCCCTCTTTGTCTAATTTCTTTGTGTAATTTTTGCATGCTAAATAACACCATCCACGGTCTAATCCAATGCATATAATAGTTGCTACATCCCAGAAATTTTCTGGCAGCGCATAAAAATTGTATATACAATTGTTATGTAGAGAAAGATAAGATAAACGTTGTGGTAATTAAAAAGTGAACTAAATTAAAACGTAGGTACTCACATGCTTAAAGTCACCCAAATCCTCAATATTTTTAACTTTAATACTTCCAAATGCTAGTTCATTAGCAACAAAATGAGTTTTGTGAGATGAAATTTGAGTAATTCTTTGTGAGCTTTCTCTACACAAAGAAATTATTCAGTTTCATTTTTTAACTTGAGATACATTAATAAATATTAAGACTAAAATTTAGGATGAAATAGCCTTAAATTTAGCCCAACTTATAGAGACCTGGAGCAAAAGTCAATAACTTGAGGAAGATTTGAATTGATCCAAAGTTTCGACGGGTGCCAAGTGTTCCTCACTGAATATTGTTCTGCACTCTTAAAAGTAATTTTTAAGAGTTTACTAATGATATAAAGACATTGTATTGCAAAGTAAGTAGACAATTTAATAACCTCGATATCGGTGTACTTTAATCAATTGCATGACGACGACAACAGGCTTATCATTGGATTCATTCAAATATGGCATGATCTGTTCCACAAAGTCTCCCCAAAGAGTTGCAGAAATGTTGTTGCTCCTACAATTATTATAAGGTTTAGCATAGGAATCAAAATAAAGAATTGTTGAAATATTTACTTAGTTGAATAAATTATGGCGAGCTTACTCATAATCTTGTATCTCAATGTTCATGTACATACGGATGTTATTATCTTGCTTGATAAACCGTAAGTCCTCATAACTCACAACTTCGTCAATGATATCTACAAAGCAAGAAAATATGTGCAAAATTAGTAATCATTATAGACAACAAAAATAAAGATTGTAAAAGAATTAAACACTTAGATGTATATTCCAAAGGCAGCATATATCAATTTTTATGAGTTTTGTTAAAAGGGAAGGTTTAAGAGAATGCAAAGGAAACCGTGGGCATGAACTCCATCAGCTACCTATGGAAGTAAGAGATCAAAAGCTAACCTTAGGCCTTCATAAAACTACTGAAATACTATCTACAAATACTATGTAAAATAGTACCAAGACTATACCCCTGTACTGGAGATCTTGAGAGTAATGGTACAATACTATTTTTTTTTTGGTTCCATACGCCTATAAAGGCATTCTAGAAATCATGATTTACGACAGAGGATTTAACAATATCAAAAATTTCAGCTTTAATCTAAAATTTGATCTTTGATCTTATGCACTGTAATTCGTATTAATTTAGTTCACACTTAGAACTCATAATATTGAAAACAAATAAGGCAAAGTAAAATAAAACTGCAAAAAATGAGAGAAATTTAATTACCAAATAGCTCAGTATTGTCAAATTCTTGCGGATTTGAAAGCTGCTCATAGGTTCTAAATTTGAAAATACACATGTTGAAATGTGGATCATGTATTTCGTCAACAGTGATCTTATGCGTGAACATCAACTTAAACTTGTGGTCTTTGATCTTCAGCTTCATATTATTTGGACAAACCACGCAATTCTTCATGATGTACAAACTCATTTCCTTAATTTCTTGTTTGAACCTTTGGATAAAAGACCTGCCAATACTTTGAATGCGGTCGCCCTACAAAAAACTCAATTAGTTAAAATGACTAAGTCATTCCGTATATGGAGGTAATATACTTACACATTTGTAAACAAGGATAAATAGAAAGTAATTATAAAATTTTAAACAATACATTTTCATCCACTCAATTGAAAAAGGGTTGTCAGGCCTTTGGCGATCTCCGTAAAGGAAGAAGAAGGCAAGACTAAGTCATTTAGTAGTTTTCTATTTCCATTCTGCCTTCACCATGCCTACCCTGTAAAAACGATTCTCCAACTGATGATTTTTCAGTTTCGGATGTGAAGGCTTAGGCTTCCATTTTTCGATCCGAATTTTTTCAAAGCCTAACAGTACGAACCTTTAACTTCCAATTCATTGATTTGCTGTTAATTTCACTAACGAAATTGATTTCAGCCGTCATTATATCCTTAAATAGGCAGAGGTATTTATAAATATAAGTAGAAACTAAAACTTCACGGAAATTATATGTTAAAGGAATAGAATCTCAACTGGAATAAAGCTTGTTAATGAAATACAAATCATACCAATCACCTCTTGTACTGTAGAATTGCTGTTTGATATGAATGTAACATACTTACACATTTGTAAACAAGGATAAATAGAAAGTAATTATAAAGTTTTAAATAATACATTTTCATCCACTTAATTGAAAAAGGGTTGTTAGGCCTTTGGCGATCTCCATAAAGGAAGAAGAAGGCAAGACTAAGTCATTTAGTAGTTTTCTATTTCCATTCTGCCTTCACCATGCCTACCCTGTAAAAACGATTCTCCAACTGATAATTTTTCAGTTTCAGATGTGAAGGCTTAGGCTTCCATTTTTTGATCCGAATTTTTTCAAAGCCTAACAGTACGAACCTTTAACTTCCAATTCATTGATTTGCTGTGAATTTCACTAACGAAATTGATTTCAGCCGTCATTATATCCTTAAATAGGCAGAGGTATTTATAAATATAAGTAGAAACTAAAACTTCACGGAAATTATATGTTAAAGGAATAGAATCTCAACTGGAATAAAGATTGTTAATGAAATACAAATCATACCAACCACCTCTTGTACTGTAGAATTGCTGTTTGATATGGATGTAATAGACTTACACATTTGTAAACAAGGATAAATAGAAAGTAATTATAAAGTTTTAAACAATACCTTTTCATCCACTCAATTGAAAAAGGGTTGTCAGGCCTTTGGCGATCCGAATTTTTTCAAAGCCTAACAGTACGAACCTTTAACTTCCAATTCATTGATTTGCTGTTAATTTCACTAACGAAATTGATTTCAGCCGTCATTATATCCTTAAATAGGCAGAGGTATTTATAAATATAAGTAGAAACTAAGACTTCACGGAAATTATCTATTAAAGAAATACAATCTCAACTGGAATAAAGATTGTTCATGAAATACAAATCATACCAATCACCTCTTGTATTGTAGAATTGCTGTTTGATATGCAAACGATGGAGAAAGAACAGAAATATATACTGTAAAAGTAGAACTAATTTTACAAACTGATTCATATTGTTGGAATCCTGGGCAGAAGAGTTCCTATTATTGAAATCCTGGGCAAAAGAGTTCGTGGGTAAGAAGTTGATATCGTGGCGAGACATCGTGGGATTGAGGTGCCGAGTTTGGAGGATGAAAGTTTTAGGGCAAATAAATAGAATGCCGTTCTTTAAGGTTTCAAAATGTATCTATATACCTATTTTTATATAAAAACGTAGAAACTATTTTTTTTAAATATAGAAAAACGCAGAAACTACTTTTTTTTTTTTAAAATTATGAAAAACCTAATTAATTGTTTTCAAATTGAAAAAGAGAAACTAATTTGACCTAAAATAACTAATTTGTCCTAAAGCTGCTATATGTCATTTTGTATGCGGAACACTTGTCAAATTTTTAGGGCAGACTTCTTTCTTTCTAAGTAAATATATATATATAAATATATATAGATCACACATAATTGTGTTACTACACCCATCTCTAAGATTTAGGTACAACCGTTGATGATCTACCGTTTGCAACCACTACCTGTGTACATACTACATAGCAAGCCCAACCCCTTAACCGTCCCATTTTGGCGCTCAAATTGCAGTGAAACACTTTGGGCTCAAGTAGGAATCGACGAACCATGACGACGTCGTGTAACACAGCGTACCTGGTCTTCAAAAATCACTCGTAGAGGCAAAAATCTACAACCCATAAGGAGTTGCGATGCTTCTCGCAAGATTCCTAGCTTCCAGATCCACTTTTCTGAGTATTTCCTCATTAATTCCTACATTTTATCACTCATTTTCATCACTACCAAATTCTCAATCACACGAAACATTCTCCAGAAATTTTGATGAATCTCTTGTTCTGAATCAGCTCTCCGACCTTTTACCCATCCGTCAGACCCCTTCAACCGAAAAGCCCTTTTCTACGGACTCCTCTGCTAGGAATAATCATTGGGAACAAGTTAGGGTTTTGGATGAGTTTTTAACTCCTGAAGATAAGTTACGGGGCATTTTCCTTCAGAAACTTCAGGGGAAAATTGCAATCGACAAGGCACTGACATCCGTTGACGTAGAATTAACTGTTGATTTGGTTGCTAGTGTAGTAAACAGAGGGAATTTAGATGCTGCATCAATGGTAACATTTTTCAGTTGGGCTATCAAACAGCAAAAAATACCTATTAATAATGATACTTACAGTATAATTCTTAAAGCATTAGGCAGGAGGAAGTTTTTCGCGCACATGGTTGAAATGTTGGAGGATATGAGGAGTCGAGGTATAATCCCTAATTTAGACACACTTTACATTGTGGTTGATGGCTTTGTTCGAGCTCGACGCATTTCAAAGGTTGTAGAATTGTTTAGTCGATTAGAGGACTATGGGTTGAAATGTAATACCGAGACACTTAATGTTGTTTTACAATGTTTATGTCGTAGATCACATGTAGGTGCTGCGAGTTCTTTGCTTGTGAAAATGAAAGCGAAAGTCTCATTTGATGTTTCGACATATAATATTGTCGTTGGTGGGTGGTCGAGGTTTGGAAGAGTTAAGGAAGTTGAGAGGATCTTGAAAGAATTGGTGGATGATGGATTTGAGGCCAATAATTTGACTTACAGTTATGTTCTTGAATGTTTAGGGAGAGCTGGTCGAATTGATGAATCTGTTGAGATTTTTGAGGGGTTGGAGGAAAAAGGGTGTGTGCTTGATGCTGCGATCTACAATGCAATGATTTTGAATTTTATTTCACATGGTGAAATTGATGAATCTGTGAAATATTATGGGAGGATGTTAAATACGGGTTGTGAGCCAAATGCCGATACATATATGAAACTAATATCTGCTTTTCTCAAAGCTAGAAGAGTAGCCGATGCCATTGAAATGTTCGATGAAATGTTAAGCCGGGGGATGATTGTTACAACAGGGACTTTAACCTCTTTTCTTGAGCCTTTATGTAGCTATGGTCCCCCCCATGCAGCTTTGATTATTTATAAGAAGGCGAGACAAGCTGGATGTAGGATATCCTTGACTGCATATAAGTTGCTGCTTATGCGGCTTTCTAGGTTTGGGAAATGTGGTATGTTGTTAAATATCTGGAATGAGATGCAAGAAAGTGGTTATTCTTCTGATATGCAAGTTTATGAGTATGTCATCAATGGGCTTTGTAACATAGGGCAGCTTGAAAATGCTGTTCTGGTGATGGAGGAAGCTTTACAGAAAGGATTTTACCCTAGCAGGCTTATTTGTAGCAAATTAAATAACAAGCTACTAGCTTCAAATAAAATAGAGATTGCATACAAGCTTTTTCTAAAGATAAAAGTTGCACGTGGAAACCATAATTCGCAAACATACTGGCGTGCTAAAGGGTGGCATTTCTAATGTTTGGGGACTCAGCTGATTTATGCAACTGCTTCTAATTATCTGCTTTCAGAATGATGAACATAAGAATAATCAACCTTCACTGCCCTAAGCTGCCCCTGGTAATGAACTGAAGCTGCTCCTTTGTTTTCCTAATGGGTATCCACTGCCATGTATAGCAGGGTAAAATTTGAGAAATTATGTGAAGCAGCAGGGTCTGAAGTATTGTTTTGCATTATCATGGAGGGGGTAATATTTGAGAAATTTCTTGAAGCACCGGGGACTGAAGTATTACTCTTCTTTGCTGGAAGTTGTTCTGTGGAATCTATGGAAAATTCATTCCAATCTGAGTCACATATTTATTTTTGACCTTTGAAGTGAGTGTTGCTAGTTGGAGTCAAATTGTGTAGCTGGTAATGAATGTATTCCAACTTCTGTGGCCATGAAAAGTCATTAAAGGAATTCTCTATCTTGTTTATTATGAACAAGCATTGTAGAAAAACTAGAATCATGACTCTGGAACGTCCTTAACCATTGGTCTGGAACATAACTGCCTTTAACCCCCAGGGAGGGGATTGGTTTAATGAAATTCAACTTGTAAAGAATTAGCCTTGTGACTCTCACTCAAATGATATGGTCTGACTGATCGGTGACAGATACTAGGTTATTCAGGAAATGAAATTCTTCAAAGCTACTGGGTAACTTCTCAGTACGCATTTTTGTTGGTAGTGATGTACTTCCATGTGATATGGGGGAAGGTCTGATATTGAGTGAGGATAAAGGATGAAATGACTGCATTGCTGGGTGGGAAGTGGCAACTGAGAAGGTTGATATTATCGTGGGCGGACGGATGAAAAGGAAATTTCCCACCGTAAGAGTCCTCCTTAGACCAGCTCCAAGCTCCTATTAGTTATCCGTAAGGGTACAGGAGAGTAGGGAATGATATACTTGGAATGTGAAATATCCACAAGTTTAAAGGTACAAGAGAGATGAGAGGAGGTTTCTCAGCCTATGCTTTTATATCTGTGCTTTCACATCAATAGGTGACACCCTGATGCTATAGTTGTATAGAATATTTAGGTCATTTGAGTGCTCAGAACTTGAATATACAAACAAAGTAAATCTTTAGGTCTATTGAAGTTTTTGGTCCTCAAATTTATTTGTTTTGATTTTTTTTCCAGTTTTGGTTTACTTGGTTTAGCCCCTAACTGTGGTCTCCTTTACCAAAGCTGGAATGATTAAGGAAAAGTATCGACTTAGAAGGGTGTGACGCCGTCATCTAATACCAGAAGAAGCCTAAGTAAGAACGGATTTCAAAAGTTATACATATAACAATTATTATTAGGATAAAGTGATTCAGTGGCCCAAAGTGGTATGTGATGAGGCAAGAAGATATGAGGTCTCAATGTTGCATTCCACATCTTAATCTTGTATAAAATTCAAAGAAAGTAAGCCAAGGCTCTGAATTTTCAATAATATCCGTCATAACTACTGTACTCCTCCAAATGATTTAGCTTCTAAAAAAAAGATAACCATTATGCTATCCAGCCTTTAGCCAAGCATGCATCAATTGAACACAAGAAATTATTTCCTGCTATCCATCTGTAGTCATATGAGACTGGTTTATTTTACTTTTTTGCAGCGTGCAGCTCTTCCAACCAACACTCCTGGAATTCCATGCACTTTGATCCTCAAGGAAGAGCTGATATATGTGGCGATTGGCTACTCGGCTCAAGTTTAGAAGCTGCAGCTATAAGTGGCATAGCTCTTGCTGATCATGTAATCCCTCTAAACTTCCTTGTTCTTACCGTCTCTTTTCTTATTGGCTTACTCTAATCAGAGGCGGATCTAGGATTTCTTGAACATGGGTGCACCAATAAAAAAAGTTGAAAAAAAGTATTAAGTGAGAATCGATCCCCGTTCCTCAGGGTAAATAACCCAATATCCAACCAATTGCACCATTCAATCTTTTGAGAGCATGAGTGCCAACAGATAATATTAGATTAATTCTAGAAAATATGTTCATAAAATACCTAGTTTGATGGTGAGACCATGGGTTCACGTGTCCCATAATTAGGGCTATAACCCCCCNTAATTGTTCTTGTTTGCTTCTTTTACGGGGTACTCCTATGACCGTGGAATTTACTATGATGTTTAAGGCTGAAAGGTAAGTCCCGAGCTTGTTATATATTTCTGAATGCTGACTGTAGGGCCTTCCTATAGATTGCAAATTACTTCGAACAAGGTGGACCTTGCTCATATGAGTTTGCCGTTGGTTTGCATGAGGAGTATAAGCCACTTGGAGGACATGATATAGGGGAGTTCCCAGGACTGGAATCTGTTGATCAGACCACAAAGGCCCCAGCTTTGACACTCACTACTTGAATTAATCCTGAAACAACTTTCTTTGTGAGTTCTTAAGCATTTGTAATCTGTACTTCATGTTAGTTTTTTTTTATTTTTTAATGTAGATATCTTCTTCCCTCTGCACACATTTTAATGCTCATTCTTATTTCCTATGAAGGATGATTAGTTGATAAAAGCGAGTGAACAAAATGAGACTCACTATCAGAACAAGCAATTTGCAGTGCTGATTATAGACATACTTGAGCTTATATCACTTTTACTTAGCAGCTCCCGGAAAGGTACCAAATCTTCAGCATACTGCTATCCTTCAGAATGTTAACTTTAGAATTTCAAGTTGGAGATAACCTTTTTCTGCTTTAAGGTTTCAACTCGATACGATATAAGCCTAGTGGGATTTCCTAAACCTTCATCCTTAGGTGGAAAAGAAAAATACTCAGAAGTCTATCGTCCTTTTCCTCGACCGGTATCTTCTGTTCGGCTGCCCCCATTTGAAGATGGCTTTGATGCCTCTCCACATCTTTACTATGAATTTACCCTTCTTATTTTCTCTTTCTCCTTCTGGAAGTCTACCTGAAGATCGACGTGGGCCTTGGCCATATGCTGCCTCAAGCCTGCTAACAGAATCTGCTAACTTCTCATGAGACTCTGCCTCTGCCTGTTCTTTTGTTTGGGCCTCCAGGTATGTCTTCATCTCTTCTTTAGTATAATACTCAGGTGTAGACTGGGAGTGCGAGGGTCCACTCGGGAGTTGTGATACCAAGTCACGAATGGAGACAAGCTGGGAATTCAACATCCCAAATGGTCCCTTAGGCAGTGTCACCTGCGAGGACTCTGGTCCGACAATTGTGATGACCTTCCTCTTCTTGCTTTTCACTACACTATCTTTGGTCACTCTTAACGGATGAAAGGGTTTGTCGGCTGGTAACCAATGATTGGCGCTACGCACACCAACATCTGCCCGCCGGCACAACTCTGTGATAAAGGAAGGGAACGTCAAGCCTGGATTGTCTCGTAGTAAGTACTCTTTCAGCTCCTGAATGATATAATAATCGACATTCACATGAATGCCATCAAGTATGCGTGCGATCATCAGGGCCCTGATATACGACACATCAGAAACATTGCCACAAGGTGAGACTCTATTACAGATGACGTAAAGCCACATCTTGGCCTCAGTTGTGAAGTCAATGGATTTTATACCCTTCATCTTGTTGGCCCGCTTCGCTGTCTTGTCTGAGGGATAAGGTTTAGATGCTAGCCACTCTCCGCTTGAGCATGTATCTTTTTCTCGTACCGGCTCAAGTGGATGGTTCGGAAGCCCAAAAACATTATTGATTTGCTCAGGTCCGAATCTCAATATTTTGCCCCTTATGATGAGTTGTGGGTCGTTGAAGCCCAATTTGAAGACTTTGGTTGAGATGTATTTATTCCAATACATCCGCCATTGATCATGTACTGCACAAATTTAAAACTCTTGATAGATTTGGATCAGTGTACAAACTTCAACGGCCCACAACTCATCATAAGGGGCAAAACAATGAGATTTGGACCTGAGCAGATCAATGATGTTTTTGGGCTTCCGGACCATCCACTTGAGCTGATACAAGAAAAAGATAACATGCTCAAACGAAGCGTGGCTAGCATCTAAACTTTATCCCTCATACAAGAGAGCGAAGTGGCTGACAAGAGGAAGGATTTAAAATTCATTGACTTCACAGCTGAGGCCAAGTTGTGGCTTTACATCATCTGTAAGAGAGTCTCTTCTTGTGGCGATGTTTCTGTAGGTCAGGCCCTGATGATTGCATGCGTACTTGATGACATTCATGTGAATGTTGGTTATTATATCATTCAGGAGCTGAAAGAGTACTTGCTACGAGACAGTACAAGCTTGATGTTCCCTTCATTTATCACAGAGTTGTGTCGACGGGCAGATGTTGATGTGCGTAGCACCGGTCGTTGGTTACCGGCCAACAAATCCTTTCATCCTTTGAGAGTGACCGGTGAGGATAGTGCAGTGAAAAGCAAGAAGAGGAAGATCACCACAGTTGCCGGACCAGAGTCCTCGCAGGTGACACTGCCTAAGGGGCCATTTGGGATGCTGAATTCCCAGCTTGTCTCCGTTCGTGACTTGGTGTCACAACTCCCGAGTGGACCCTCGCACTCCCTGTCTATGCTTGAGTACTGTACTAAAAAAGAGATGAAGACATACCTGGAGGCCCAAACAAAAAACAGGCAGAGTCTCATGAGAAGTTAGCAGATTCTGTTAGCAGGCTTGAGGCAGCATATGGCCAAGGCCCACGCCGATCTTTAGGCAAACTGCAGAAAGAAAAATAAGAAGGGTAAATTCACGGTAAAGTTGTGGAGAGGCTTGGCCATCTTCAAATGGGGGCAGCCGAACAAGAAGATACAAGTTGAGGATAAGGATGTCATACGAGAAAAGATAAAGCCCTAAAGTACTTTCAGGAGGATGTTACAGGGGATTCAACCTTACTGCTTTATTGAGATTACGCTTCTAATATTGTTAGGACCAAAAAAAAAATCCTTTGAGCAGATCTTTTCATGGATTTATATTGAGGAGATGTTACTTTGGGGGGAGTGTCATGGTTGATATGTATGTTAATTTGTGTTAAGGATGTGGTTTTGTGTAACAGAGTGACACAAGTAATGCTCAAAAGGGCCTTGCAAGAGAGGCTATTGAAGCATACAACATAACGAATGACATGCCATTTAGGCGCATTGCAAGAAGGATGAGGACAGGGCATGAGATGAAGGTTGTTCTACATCTGGATGTCTTTATTATATCTTCCTCATCGACCTCTATGGAAAATGTCCAAGGCTGGAATTCCGTGTCTTTATTTTATGAGGCATCTAGGATCAATTCTATCCTTTGTAACGCGAAAATATCATCTCATGGTATCCATGGGAATGGTATGATATATATCTCTGCGATTAATTAAGGATATGCTGGAAATTTTCTCTATTGGCATAGGCCATTCAGAATCAAGTACTTTCGTGCAATGGAGCTGGAGTTGGTATTAAACCTATACTAAAGCATTTTATCTGCATGGTATTGATGGATCTGTTTGCTGGGGCGGGCTGATGACCTAGAAATGGCTTAGCATTTTATTAGAAGCATGCCTTTCGGCCCGATTCTTTGCTCTGGGGTGTTCATCTTGTTGCTTGCCGACTTTTGTGGAAATGTAGAGCTGCGTAAATTGGCTTTAGCTAATTTGTTTGAAGTCAACCCCGAGAAGTGTCGGTCTTGAATTCCTTGGATCGTGAATCGTGATATATGTATAGGATATTATTTCTTTATTTCTGTTTAAAAAAGAATATTTCATTAATTTTGTATTTTCAAAAATTTAATTTTAAACTTCTATTTTACCTTTAATAAGTATCATTTATGTTCACACAAATGTTTTGGCGTGTAAAATTATTAGTTTCAAAAGTCTTATTGCCAAATGAATTTTATGGCATATTTAAGATTTTAAGTTTTGAAAAGAATTCTTAAACTTCGTGTCGAGTCAATTATGTCACATAAATTAAAATGGAGGGAGTAGCATTTATCGCCATTTCGTAAGATTCTCTTTTTAGCTTTACACATTTTGCGAGATTTGATTTTGTAGTCTATTGCAAATAGTAGTGCAGCTATATGATCCTTTACACCGGAGATTAGTAAAAAAATAATATAAGAAATCTGTAAGTAAATATAAGATCAGAGACAATCTTTTTTTCCTTTTTCTATACAAATTCATATACATAAGTGAGTATAGAAGTTTATTTCTTCACAATTTTCTATGGCAGATTCATGCACATATAAGAGCATTAACTTCTATTTTTTGTCGTCGACATATGTTTTCTTAGTTTTCTATATAGTCCTTCCACCTACACAAGGGTCTGAAATATTCATGATACCAGCATAACTTATTGATGCTATTGCATTTACTACCAGCTCGTAGTTTTCGAGATTTGACATATACCTGTCTTTGCATGGAAATAGGCACTTAACAGCCTCACGTACGCTCTAAATTAGATCTATTGTCCATCCTCTACCTAATGTCCATGTTCTAATTAACTTATATAAAGTCAGGAACGCAACTTAATTTCCTTCATAATAGTAAAATTCTAATAGGACAAGTGTAGCTAGCCCTAGAAGCTAGATAATTTACGAGGAATCAAATCAACAATTGGGCGTGCGGTTTAATCTATCTGTCTCATCAGGTCGATAAAATAACTTTTTGTAATTACGTGCGGCAAACTTTAAAATTTGTTTCCAGTTGGCTGGCTTAGTAGATTTTAGATCTTAACCCGCTCAATTTTGAATCGATTATCAAGTAATCTGATAAATTTTAATTCCTATGTTTGTCGTTTGATTATAAGTTAAAAGGTAACAAGAAAATTACTTGTACACCAACATATCAGCTTAGCATTTAAGACCTTAGTATACTATTTTTATCCATGCACATGATATCACCAAATTCTCTGTCTATATAGTAAGTATCTCCCAGATATCATCACAGCTCACAATTACCTCAAACCAAAGCAAAATAAATTTCACTAAAACCAAGAAAAGAAGCCACCGAGAGAAAGAGGACAGTGGCTCATCAATGGCTTCTTCCAAAAATTTCAAGCTTATCTTCACCTTCTTCATACTCATCTCCATTTTCACACCTCAAGCTTTCTCAGAAGAAGATCACTCATGTGGATCAGAAACACACAACACATGCAACAACAAATCCAAAGCTTTAACCTTAAAAATCATAGCCATAGTCTCCATTTTAGTAACTAGCATGATCGGAGTATGCTTGCCTCTTGTCACACGTTCAATATCGGCATTAAGCCCCGACCGGAGCCTCTTCGTTATCGTTAAGGCATTTGCTGCCGGAATTATTCTTGGTACTGGTTTCATGCATGTCTTGCCGGATTCTTTCGACATGTTGTCGTCCGGTTGTCTGAAGGAAAATCCTTGGCACAAGTTCCCTTTCACTGGATTTGTTGCTATGTTATCGGCTATAATTACGTTAGCTATTGACTCTATGGCTACTAGCTTTTATAGTCAGAAGCACAAAAATGGGGTCACTCCTGAAAATGGCGGTCATGATCAAGAAATGGGCACAATGAATAATGGACATTTCCATTCTCATCACCATGGATCATCACTCAGCTCTAAAGATGGAGACGTTCAAGGAACAAAACTACTGCGTTACCGAGTCATTGCAATGGTTAGTTTTTTTTTTCCTGTTTAATTTATGTGATATCATTTGAAATAACATTTAATATTCAACATGAGATACTAATATTTAAGCTACATGCAAACCGGAAACAGCCGAACAGGAACAAATACTTATACTTATAAGATTGCTTGTTGACAGACGGTCGTTGGTCTGAGGAAGAATAGATTCTTGACTAATTCTGGTTGACTGCTCTAAACCATTCAGAGATAGATCCAATTTTATACAGCCACATGCATGTCTTTTCGTATCAACTGCAAATTATCAGATTCTTGCCGAATATTAGCTAGGTCGTTGCTCTAGCCCCTACTAAATTAGCTAAATACCAATTTTAGATGGTGGTCCATGTGCCTGTGTTGCCTAATATTCTAACCCCTTATGACAACATTATTTCCAATCAAACTAGTCATTTTAGTAAGTGCAACTATACATCTTATTTACGTTGCTTTCTCCAACTCAATTTACTTTTCGGAGTTAATTAGTTGTACATGTGATAGTGCAATATATATTTTGAAGAATTAACATAAATAGCCGCTCACTCAACTGCTTAATCTAAAAATTGTCGGCAAATATATTATATATGTGTGTAATTACTGTATAATCTATATATATATCGGCTAAGATAAGTACAGAACGAATCCATTTGGCTATTTTCGTAAAGATCCCTATTTTTAGCACTATGCAATTTTTATCAATTATTTACACTAAGTTATTGTTTTAAGCTCCAGTTTACTATATCACGTTTCGTATAAAACTTGTTATTACAGTAAAGTGATGAAGTAAAAAGATTATAAACTGCTAGTGCATAAACTCTTTCTGTTATGTAACTACTATTCGGTAAGGTGCCACCTTATAAGATTACAATCTGTGGAGTCACATTTTATTTTTTAAACTACGACTTCTTCAAAATTTTTGAGATATTTGTGATTTACAGTACTTCTAATGGAATTTTCATTTATAATATATGATTTCATAATGTAAATTAGAATGATTCGATCACTGTATTTCCTAGACAGGTTTTTCAGGGGGATGGATAGATTTGTAGTATTGCGGGGAGGATAATAACAAGAAAGAGTCAAACTCAAATAAAATAGGGAAAGGTAAACATAAGTATACGGAGTACGTACTTAGATGTTGGAATAAAGCCAAATTGCTGGTGAGCATGTGGCCCACTCTTTTGATAAACTTGCCGGAAAAGGATGTAGGTGAGGGATAGTCATTTATTACTTCAGGCCCATTCATAAGACACTCTTTTCAAGTTTCTCCTAAAAAGAAAAAAAGAGACATTCTTATATTTTAAAAATAATAATTTAAAATTCTAATTTTATTTTTGAGGACACGATTATATACTCACATAGACATTCACGACATGTTTTAAGCTGTAAATATGTACTTTTCAGATTTAATGCTCGGTTAAATACTTTCACTGCATGGACCAGGTTGGTTCGGTTTTTATCAAAACCAAACCAAACCAACTATATCGGTTTGGATTGGTTCGGTTTTATCGGGTTTTTCGAGTTTTCGGGATTTTTTGTTACATGAATATTATTTCAATCTTACTTTGTAAAAATTATAGATAAAGCTTTGATAAGTGAATATATGTTTAGTAAATATGAAAAAAAATTGACAAACATATGATCTATTAAAATATTCTAATGGGAGAATTTTTTTAGTAACACATGATAGTTATTTTCTTAGTCGTCTAACAATAATTTTTCGTTAATTTACGCTTTCAAGGTTAATACATGAGAGGATCCCAATTATTTCTACATTTTCTAAAGAAAATTCACTATAAAGTCTTAAAATTATAAATAAAATTTATATATTTATATGTCGGTTTGGTTCGAATTTTTTTACTCAATACCAAACCAAGTCAAAAACCTAGACGAATTTTTTAATCGATTTGGTTTGGTTTTTCGGTTTTTCGGTTCGGTTTGAACAACCCTACGGTTTCACATAAAATGGTAGGAGGGAATATAGCCGGAGAGAAGCTGCGAAGGTCAAAATATATAATAGGAGATGCAATCTCTATCCAAAACTTAATCAGCAAAAGCTATTAGTATATAAATTTTTAGTTTAAAAGTTTAGGTGTACGACTATTTGAGTTAAATCTTTTTTTTTTCTTTTCCTACAGGTGCTAGAGCTTGGTATCATTGTTCACTCAGTGGTAATAGGGCTTTCTCTAGGTGCTTCAAACAATACTTGTACAATAAAAGGACTCGTTGCTGCCCTTTGCTTTCATCAAATGTTTGAAGGAATGGGCCTTGGTGGTTGCATCCTCCAGGTAATTAGTTTAATTACATTCCACTTCTTCCATAAGATAGAAAAGAGATAATATAATGAGTTAACGACAATAAAAGTAATAAATTATAGCACATTAGTAAAAATCAAATATATAATATAGGAGTTAGTTATATGTGCCGAAGTCTGTCGAAAACAGTCTTCCTACCTTATGTAAGGGAGGATTAAGGTTTGCCTACACCCTATCCTTCCCGAACCCACATGTGGAATCACACTTGAATATTCTGTTGTTATTATTATTGTTATAAGAGTTAGTTATATTTGAAAGAAGGAAATTGCCGATTGGATAATAAGGGCAATAATTAATTCACAAAAAAAGGGATGGTCTTGACTCTTGACTACTTTACCTCTTTTATTATATTTCAAAAGTGAAAGAATTTCTGATGCTTTTCCCGTTTTTTTTTTTCAAAACAGGCTGGGTACAAAATGGTGAAAAAGGCAGCAATGGCATTTTTCTTTTCAGTAACAACCCCATTCGGCATAGCACTTGGAATTGCATTGGCAAAAACTTATCAGGAAAACAGCCCGCGGGCACTAATAACCGTTGGATTGCTCAATGCGTCATCTGCCGGCCTTTTGATTTACATGGCTTTAGTGGATCTTCTTGCAGCAGATTTCATGGGTGACAAATTACAAGGTAGCATTAAGCTACAGATTAAGGCTTTTATTGCTGTCCTTCTAGGTGCTGGTGGGATGTCTCTAATGGCCAAATGGGCTTGAGATTTGATCCTAAACTACGTACGTAATTTCATCGTATAACTTAGGACGTTCCATGTGTCAATAAACATGACATGTCTACTTCATACGAGTAATTTTATTGCAATTTCGTCCATCTTTTTTAACTTGGTACCCATGCAGAAGCCATATATATCTTAACCTTGTAATTGTCCAGTCAAATTAAATGACACGCAAAGCTTTCTACGTGTCAAATTTACATCTTTTGACCAACCAGATACTGTCTACTTTGAATTAATAAATATATCGGTTCAATAACCAGATGTGGAGGATACGGGTTCGGATGAACCAAGTAGCTAATTTTATTTAGATCTTGTATTTATATTATAAAATCTATTAAATATGTATAGATATTTAATTGTGAATTCAGTAACTAAACAAGTTATGAGTTTGATGGCAATTTTAGAACCTATAAACTTCAAATCTTGGATCTGCCTTTGGTCCAATAGTGAGTAAAAAAGATAAAATGACGAGTTGTCTAACGGAGGTTTTCCCTAAGATCTATCACATAACAAAAGCTACAAAAGAAGCAAGAGAGCGTTCCACAGAAAAGTCGTGGTATTCCGCTACAACTTCAAGCGTCTAATCAAGCTCTAATTCGTCATGTCTGAGTATAATAATTGGTTAACTCTCAATTACAGTTCTCAGATTGTTGAATTGTTTTGATGCGTAATATAAATTCAATCAAGCTAGGGCAGGTATCGGAGGGATAGTCAAGAACTTAATGTCAGTTAGTACCACAATTTGGGCTAACTTGGACTTTATTTGCGCTGATCATAAATAGATGATTCAAAATTGAATTGTTACTTTCTTCTTGACTTTATTGATTTGAGTTGCTGGTGTAGAGTTCATGATCATTCACAAGCATATCCTTATAATCTTTTCCTTTTTCTTTTCAACCTCCTTTTCTTCTTAATTTCTTTTCTCAACAGGGCACACCTCTCTAGAGATAATTCATGTCACTACAAAACCATTTTATTTTGTCCTATAGTCAAACCTTATATTTTCTCAACTCTTTAATTAATTTATTGCTGTAAACAGATAAAACTGAGCCCGTTGAACACCTTGATTTTCCGGTGAGGCAAACAGAGCAGGGATATAACCGTAAGGAATTGGAATCAGGGTGAGGAGCCCCTCGTTTTGGGGTTCGAGCAAAAAACCTGCCCTCGGAGGCATCATGACCACGTCCTCCGGGTCCGGTTTGAGTCCCAAAACTTCAGAGAGCATTGCCAAACAACCGCACAAGACTAACAAAGGGCTGTGATATCCGTGCCCAACCGGATGTCACAACATAAATCTCGGCCCGTATCAAGGATGGATAAGTGATTGGCGAAAAAAGAAATTTTTATCCTTTTGTAGAATTGTACTTAGGGTAAAACTCCCCTACTATATAAAGGAGAAACTATTAGGGACATTGTAACACGCATACCAAAGCAATTTACCTCCATTCTCTCTCTTATTAAAAGTTCTTATCTTTGTTCATCAGTTCTTCATAAGTGTAAGCTCGGGATCAAAGGCAGGTTCTTCATTGAGCCATTAACCGAACCCGGGATTACTCTTATCATTGGTTTGTCCATTTATTACGTCTTTCATTTTCTAAATCTTACGCCATTAATCACTTATATTGAATTAATTCACATATCCTTAAAACCAAATATAAATTCAATTGTTATCCGTTTTTAAGGTAAATAGTTTGGCATCCACCATGGGGCCAAGGATAATAGTGGCAATTTGATACAAATTTACATAACACGCTTTGCTTTACGCTTTCTCTTTGGGATTTTAATTTCAGGTCAAATTAAAAATGTCAAACTCTCAATCTGCTCACTTGAACATTGATGCTGAGTCTGGCCATCATGGCGAGAACAACAATATAGTGCCCAGCAGGGAGGTTCCCCCTGCTGACCCCGACGGAGTCCCGTTCGCAAACCCAATCAATGCCAACTCGCATGTGGCCATCGACGCAAACTTGCCTACCGACCCAGAGAACAACGTTCATGGAGGATCCCGATCGGTAGCCCGGGGTACACACGACAGTGAATGCGATGTGATCAATTTGCGGGTGATTTAAGAAATATTACAAGCTCAATAGGTGGCGATAGCCCAGTTACAGAACCAAAGCCCCGCCCCCAGCAGAGCTGAGCCCGAACCATCCCGGGAGAACACCCGAAGAAGTGAACGTACCTCAGAAAGACTGGTAAGGTTGAAGCCAAAACCAACCTCGAAATAATAAAGATGCTTGAGGAACTGACAAAGCGGGTGAAATCGGGGGAAAAGAAGATCGAAGCCAACGACAAAAAATTGAAGACTTATAACTCTAGGATTGCTCAGATCCCAAGAGAACCCCCGATATTGAAAGGCGTGGATTCCAAGAAATTTATCCAAAAGCCTTTCCCTCCAAACACGACACCCAAGCCAATCCCAAAGAAGTTTTGTATGCCTGAAATTCCAAAGTATAATGGAACAACAGATCTAAATGAACATATGACCTCCTACACGTGTGCCATCAAGGGAAACAACTTAAAAGATGATGAAATCGAGTTCGTTCTGCTGAAAAAATTCAGAGAAACCTTGTCAAAAGGAGATATGATATGGTATCACAACTTACCCCCTAATTCTATTGATTCATTTGCTATGCTTACAGATGCCTTTGTAAAGGCGCACGCCAGGGCCATCAAGGTCGAGACTAGGAAGTTGGACCTTTTCAAAGTAAAGCAAAGAGACAACGAGATGCTCAGGAAATTAGTGTCGAGGTTTCAAATGGAACAAATGGATATGCCTCCGGTCGTAGACGATTGGGCTGTTCAAGCATTCACCCAAGGACTCAACCCCCAAAACCCTTTGGCTTCATAGCAGTTGAAACGGAATTTGATAGAATACCCAATAGTAACTTGGGCCAACGTCCATAACAGGTACCAATCAAAAATTAGAGTCGAAGACGATCATCTTACGGCCCCCTCCGGATCAATGTATCCCGTCAGAATTAGTGACAGGTCTAAAAGAATCGTCGATCATGAACCAAGACCGAACAAAGATCGATATCAATCATATAGCGGAGATTGAATGGGTAATGGGTCCGGATGTAGCCCTATGAGGACTGAAAAAAGGAGCAATCGAGGCCACAATAGTTGGGCACTAATGACTAAACACGACTTTGACAAAGCACTCGGGGCCAAGGAGGCACTGAGATTATCAGAATGCAATTTTAGTGTCGATGCCACCGGCATCGTATCTGCCATCGGACGCATTAAAAATTCCAAGTGGCCTTGGTCGTTGCAATCTGATCCTACCCAAAAGGATCTCAGCTGATGTATAAGTATCATGGCACTCATGGCCACAGACTGAAGACTGTCGACAATTAAGGGAAGAAGTGGGTCGGTTATATAATAACGGACACCTTCGGGAATTTTCAAGTGATAGAGCCAAAAATACTCCAGGAATAGGGATTCCAACAAGCAGGCCGAGCAAGAAAAACTCAGCACGTCATTAACATGATCATTGGTGGAGTCGACATCCCCAGTGGCCAATGCTAAAATGCATTAAGGTGTCCATTACAAGGAAAAAATGAACTCGAGATTACATACTAGAGGGAACTGTATCTTTCAATGACGAGGATGCTGAAGGCATCATACAACCACATAATGATACACTGGTAATATCCGTACTCATAAATAAATCTCGAGTTAAACATGTGTTAATTGATCCAGGTAGATCGGTCAATATTGTCAGATCGAGGGTCGTGGAACAGCTGGGTCTACAAGACCAAATAGTGCCTGCAGTTTGGGTTTTAAACGGTTTCAACATGGCATGCAAAACTACTAAAAGGGGAGATAACCCTGCCGGTGAATACCTCCGGGACCATTCAGGAAACAAAGTTCTATGTGATTGAAGGGGATATGAGATATAATGCTCTATTCGGAAGGCCATGGTTGACAGCATGAGGGAAATACCCTCAACACTACATCAGGCACTGAAGTTCCCCACACTGGGAGGGATCAAAATGGTTTACGGAGAGCAGCTGACCGTAAAAAAAATGTTTGCGATCGATGAAGTGATCCCGATTTCCACACTCTTGACATCGCCGGTTTGGAAGGAAAAAACTAAATAGCAATCATCGACACCGACCCTGACCGAACCGGAGAAGCAAGAAGTGGGTGAGATGATGATTACGGAGTTCCTAGTTCTTCATCATCCCTGACGATTCCGACGCTACCAAATTGACGGTCAAGGAGCTAGACCAAGTCATACTGATCGAACACTTTCTTGATCGGAAGGTATACCTGGGCACATGTTTAACTCCTGAGCTCAGGAAAAAACTCTTATAACTAATGTTGATTGTTTTTCTTGGTCCTATCTAGACATGACGGGATCCCTCTAGAAATAACTACTCATAAGCTAAGCTTGGATTTGAAGTTCCAACCGGTTAAACAGAAGAGGAGGCCTCAGTCCGAAGTCAAGCATGCATTTATCAAAGACGAGGTATCCAAACTCCTTAGAATAGGTTCCATTTGGGAAGTTAATTACTCGGATTGGTTGGCTAACATAGTAGTAGTGCCTAAAAAGGGAAATAAATTAAGAATGTGCGTATATTACAAAGACTTGAACAAGGCATACCCCAAGGATTCCTTTTCTTTTCCTAACATCAATTGCATAATCGATGCAACGGCCGGGCATCTGATACTTAGCTTTCTCGATGCCTATTCCGGGTATAACCAAATCCGGATGGATCCAGGCGATCAAGAAAAACTTCTTTTATCACTAAATGTGGCACCTATTGTTATAACGTAATGCCGTTTAGACTAAAAAATGAGGTGCCACTTATCAACGCCTAGTAAACCGGGTGTTCGAAGAACAAATAGGAAAATCAATGGAAGTTTACATTGACAACATGTTAGTTAAGTCCTGCGAGTAGAGGATCATTTGAAACATTTACAGGAAACCTTCAACATACTGAAGAAATACAATATGAAGTTGAACCCGGAGAAATGCGCATTCGGAGTTGGGTCCGGGAAGTTCCTTGGATTCATGGTGTCTAATCAGGGGATCGATAAATCCCGACAAAATCAAAGCTATAGAAGATATCACCGTGGTGGATAGTGTCAAGGTTGTTCAGAGGCTAACTGGGTGCATTGCTGCCCTGGGCCAATTCATATGAAGGTCCTCTAATAAGAGCCATCAGTTCTTCTCGTTATTGAAGAAAAAGAATAATATTTTGTGGACCCCAGAGTGCCATCAAGCTTTTGAAGAACTCAAACGAT